CTAAAGCATTTATTAGTGTTTCACAGGGAGGTTTGATCTTATGTATGTGTATATATTTTTTTTATTTTCATAATCATATGTCACTCATTTGCCTTTTACATTTATTTATAGATGCATACACATTAGGCTTTATTTGAAAATATCACAGCTGCTTTGTTAAAATATTAAGATTGTTTTATGATAATGAGTCAATCTGCCCTAAATGGAAAACCAGCCTAAACAATAGAGGGATACAGTTTCTTTATGTTAGCCAATCTCTATTACTAAAGCTATTTGCAAGGCCTATTCATGTAGTGTTGTGCAATGGTTTCATTTTAATATCTATATTCTGTGTGGAATATAACATAGTAACATAAACATTGCCCAGTTCATATGTGCTAGACCAAAATACAGATTATATTTGTTATTTTTTCCATTCATTATGCCTGTACATGGATATTTCATTATTTTTAGTCACAAACTAGAAAAAAAAATAAAATATGAATTTATAGATATGCAGACTATTTAGTATAATCCTTAATGAGCAGCACAGTTTGGATAGCCTTTTTAGTGTGGAAACAAAAAGAAAACAAAAAAGTGAAGCATTCCATTAAGCATGGTAGGCATATTGACAAATACTATATGAAAACACAGAGAAATTATACAGATCCATAGCTGCCTACCATCCAGGGATGTGCGGTCAGGGTAGGCAGGTGAGGCAGAGCTTCACCTAGTATAATGGAGGAAAAAGCTGTCAGCTTCAACTCTGAAGCCGACTGCTTTTTCTCCATTCAGATCGGCTTGTAACAGGTTACACAGCAGGGAAATCCTCACAACTGTGTAACCTGTCATTGGAGCGCTGTGTGTGCTGTATCTGGCTTTTGACAGGTAGTTAGGTTACACAGCAGTGGGCTTCCCCACTGCTGTGTAACCTAACTAGTGAGGCAGAAGCTGCCAGAGCCTCTACTCTTTGTTAGAGGTGTGAGCTCTGTGGATGGTTTGGACCAATAGCAAAATAGCCCCCGTTCCCTCCCTTCCTCCTCCCTCACACTAGCCGGGGCGGGGCTGGGCAATGCCTCACCAAGAAGCGAAGGTAACGCACATCATTGCTACCATCAGATTGTGGGTTTTACAAGGGAAATTGACAGCAGGTGAGGATAAATTGTTGGCCAATGATCACAATAGCTGCTTTTTTGTTCATTTCAACATAGTGTACTGGACCCCCCCACACCAAAGAAAAAAAACAAGAAAAAAATAAGACAGCGAAATATGCACATTACACCTTGGTGAACTAAACAAGCTAAAAAAAGTACTTAGTAGTTAGAACCAAGGAACATGCAAAAGCCATGACATTATTAAAAACAACATTACCACAAAATAAAAACATACATACAAGTTTGGAGCGGCATTAAAGTTGCACCAATTGACAGCAGGTGAGGCTAAAGTGTTGAATGAAAGAAACAGACAAATATCAGTAGCCACTTCCAGGGCCAGATTTACTCTGCTGTCCCAAGGCCAGGCTTCTCAATGACCCCCCGTGGAGAATGGCAGACCTGCAGGCTGCATACAAGTGATTGCGGAGATCACTTGCACAAAACAAGCAGCTAAATCTGCATGTTATCCCTGCTGGGAAATAAGGATGTTAGAAAAATACCTCCTACTCATACTAAAGGAACAAGAACAAGGTGTGCAATGCAGTGGCGTCACAAGGGGAGTGCGGGGGGTGCGGCCCGCACCCGGGTGACACCATTGGAGGGGTGACACCAAAATGACTGTCATTTTGGTGTCACCCCCCTCTGAACAGTCGGGCGCTCGGTCATGGACCGAACGCCCGACAGTATCAGGAGATGTCTCGGCAGGGTGACACTCGGTTACCGCTCCGGGTGTCACCCAGCCTCGGGACGCCCCTGGTGCAATGCTTTCATAATTACGAGATGGTGAGGAGTGCACATTGGGAATGTAAACCTTGACATATAATGAAACAAAACATTTTTGAACCAAAACCAAAATTTCACAATAAGTGACACACATTTTCCAGTGTGAGCCTGATATAAGGTTTTTTGGAGGCGTGTTCAACCATTTTGTGGTAATGCCTAATCAGCATGTGAGTAACAGGTGCACATTAACCCATCACGTGCACTAGAGTCAGGAAAAAGGTGTTTGATGTTTCTCTGGCTTTTTTCTTAAGGTGCCCATACACCTTACGAATATCATCCGATTTTCATATGGGATCGCGTTTTCGGCCGATATTCAGAAGGTTGATGGGCAGTGTACAACCACAAATAATGTACAATCAATCTACTTTTGACTAACCGATAGGTTCGAAAACTTTGGTCGATCGTACAATTTTCGCAAGGTTGGTGGTGTTTTCGTATGTCAAAATTCGTACGATCTACACTGCACATGCGCAGATGAAAATACGTGCTGTCGATTACCGCAATTCGTCCAGGTGCTTTATTTTAATTACCGCTGATCCAACCTCCGGATAATCGGGGCAGGATGGGGCCGCAGTACGAAAATCGTATGACGGTTCGATCATCGGATGAAAAATGTTGTCCGATGATCGCAAGGTGTATGGGCAGCCTTAGAGTAACATTGGAGCCTCTTCAAAGTGGATTGGTTATGAGGGTGAGAGTCAGGCAGGGTTTACACAGCCATAGTTCTGCCATCATGCACTCTGGTCAAATAATGT